ATGCGGTTGCTATGGGTACCAAGGGCAGTTGCTAGGGTGTTGCTATGCGGTTGCTAGGGTACCCGGGATGGTTGCTAGGGTGTTGCTATGCGGTTGCTAGGGTACCCAGGGTGGTTGCTAAGGTGTTGCTATGCGGTTGCTAAGGTACTCGGGTGATTTATACATCATTTCACCTCACAATTTCATAATAGTTTGATTTTATATTGTCATCAGTGTTGGTCTTAACTAAAACTATTAAAAAATCGTTTTCAGTAATAGAAATATAGCTGAAATAAAATGTAAAACTTTATAAACCGAAATTAGAAATGTTGCCTAAGAAACTAACTCAAATAAAATAAGTTGAAGTGTAAAAAAAAAAAAAAAAAAAATTATATATATATATATATATAGACATAATATACCGTACATGTGTCCTATGGTGTAACAGCAACATTTAGAAAACAATAATTAATCATTATTAATAATTAATTTCTTGTTAATAATTGTTAATAATATACAAATAGCATAAGAGAGATTTATCTTCATTGTCACACCATAGGACACATTTACGGTATATTTGTCAGCTACCCATAAATATATATATATATATACACACACACACACACACACAAACACAAACAAAATTACTAAAACTTTTCAAAAGAAACTAAAATTTAAATGAAAACTGAAAATATAAAATAAAAAAATCATTCAAAATAATAATACTAAAATAACACTGGCTATTATATGCACTGATTATTTAATGTATTCCACAGTGCAGTGCATTTGAACTGATCTTGCAGTTTTATTTTAATGCATCATTGATTGATTATTTGATGTGACTGTCAAAAGATTAAATGTCATAACACAAAATTGGATAGAATATAAAAAAAATTAAAAATAACTGGGTGACACTCACTGAATTAAACAAAGTTGAAGTCAAGTGACAATATTTTTAAAAATCTTTTGCCGCATTGTTTACTAAAAAAAAGCCAGAATCTAGTGTGTACTGTGCAGTGCGCTAGTCCTCTGTTCTAAACACAGCCATTATTTGATCAGACAGCCAAGAGTGAAGACATTTTACACTCAATTACATTAAGAAACAAACGCAAAACTGTCATTTTTAAATCTAATATTAAGTGGACATCATGAAATGCTTGCCTTAATGTGTGTTAAGTGTTTCATTTGCCCCGTTCTGTAGATGTAGAAGAGGGTGTAGCTCATAACCATACGTCGACATATATTACATCCAAACCATGACACAAAATCAATGTTGTGATTTAATGAGCAGTGCGACCGATGAAACGCACAGAGCCAATAGACGCCAGGTCTGCGTTTCAAAAGCAAAGCTTTTTATTGCAAGTATTAGTGAAAGATACACTCCAAACTGAAGCAAAGCAACACTAAAAGGCCATTGATCTACAAAGAGAGTATTATTAAACAAACAAAGACATTTCAAAGGAAAAGAAACATCCCTTGGTACATTGGAGAGACTTTGCGAACACTGAGATCCCGACTCGCGGCGGCTCAACTTTGGCTCTTTCGTAAGCAACGATCGCGCGATGGAAGCCGTCCTCTGGTACCAAGAGACGCGAGACGTGAGCGACAGAAACGGAGGATGGACAGACTCGCCGTACCTTTGCATCGGATGCTTCACAGTCCTGTTTGTGGAATGCTGGAGCTTTGCGTTGCAGTAAACCGTTTTGTAAACATTTTTAGGAATCGACTCGGTCAGCGATTTGGGTGCAACTTCATCCGGCGCGCGATGCCTCTGTCCTCCTGGAAAACGACGACATGACCGTTTGAAATACAGACAGCGGCCTCGTCTCCGAATCTCCAAGCGTTTCGTGACAGTTAGTGGTTTAAAAGAGAACCGAGATGCCACATAGGGAGTGAGTTAGTTTGCTTCTCTACGCACAATGAAGGCCTTTTGACAGACGTCTCGAGTCCAATCGGAAAAACAAGAGTACAGTTAAGGCTGAGGCTCACATATTTAATATGTATCTGAGTGGAATGGGACCCTCTCTGGCACAAAGACAATTGAACTCAAGCAAATGACTAAGGACAAATACCATGACCTGCTTCTCGACTCCATTTGTAAAGCACCGGACACATCCTTTCAGGGAAAAAAAACGTGTATGGCTAAGTTTAGCAGCTCTGGATGAAAACAATCAGCTTTTTATCTTCTTTTTGGAATAAAGTCAGTGTGGTTCTCCGTCCCGTAAAGAGATGAGATGCGACGAGCCTCTTCGCTGGAGAGGTGGACGATCTCGAACTAGTCAAAGGTCAAGGAGGAAGTGACGTCATCGAACACTTTAGCCCACTCTGTGGTTGTGCTTGTGTGTGTATGTGAGGATGTCGAAGGCGTCCGTTCGACCCCCGACCCCTGAACTCGCACCCCGTAACTCTGCGGAGACTCCAGCCGCGCAAGCACTCCATCAATAAATACACCGTTAAATATTTCCCATATATTAAAAAAAAGAAGAAAAAAAAAAAACATTTAAACAGGACAACAAAATAAAAGTTGGCTCAAAAGAAAAAGATATGTGTTATGATTTAAAAACAACTTTTTTTTTTCTCTTACAATTAGACTTCTTAATCTAAAATTGTTAAGGATATTGTTGTCAGGCATTAGTCAAGCATTATACTGTAATCAAAGTAATATCTGGGTGAATCTCAAGTAAAACATATCCACCTCCAAAATCAAAAGAAAAATATCAAATTATATTTTGCATGAGAAAAATGAAGCCGTTTCAACAAATAATATTTTATTTGCATTATTTTCATGACACTTAAGCATATTTTCCCTACAATTTTGAGCGTTTCTGTACTTTAATTTTATAATTTTTTTTTTTGCATTACAATATTGAGAATTTAGAGAGGGGGAATGCATTTATGTCATTTAAATACAATCACAATGCCTAAAAAAAATAAAATAAATAATAATGGTCCAAAAATAGACTTAATTTTCTTGATGCAAAATATCCTCTTATTTCTGTCTTGTGTTGCTGTTGTGTAATACACTAGAAATTACATTTTGCATGACAAAAACGAAAACTATTTTAACAATCAATGCAATTATTGCATTATTTGCATTACTGTCATGACAATTAAGCACCGCTTTTTTTGTAATTCCCATCATACTCAATGGTGATAGAAAGATATTGACGAATAAGCATGAAGGAAAGGCAATGCAACAAATACAGTACTACTGTGGTGTATAAATATATATCCATTTTAATATTAGAATCATTTTTTCCACATTACAATAATGAGAATTTGGAGAGGGGGGGATGTGTTTAATTGTCATAAAAAAATAGTCACCAAAAAATAAGCTTTATTTTCTTTATGCAAAATATAATTGCTAATTTCTGTCGTTTTGTTGAAGTGTAGTACAACTCGAAATTATATTTTGCATGAGAAAAATGAAGTTTTGAGCTATCTCCAATGGAGACAGAATTATATTTACTGTATGTATTATAAAAATGATCAATTGAGCATAAAAGAAAAGCAATGCAACTAATATTAATACATAATATTTTTCGCATTACAGTAATGAGAATTTGGGGAGGGGAATGCATTTAATTGTCACAATGCAAAAAAATGAATAGTAAAAAATTGGCTTATTTTTCTGTATGCAAAATATAATGTGTCTTGTGATGTTGGCGTGAAATGTGAACATGTTCTTCGGCGAGATTCACCCATTTGCAGTTTCTTTCACTATAACATATGCAGCATACCAAGGTAAGTGAGGTGCAGTGTTTTGAGATCTCTCGTCGAGGTATGTCCTCCTGGACCAACGGGCACCCATGTGACAAAATACAGGCCACGGGGGTCAAAACACACACTGTACGTGTCTAGGTTTCTACGGGCCATTGCACATTGAGAGGGATCGATCAGCCACTGCAACACAAACAATGAGTTTTTTAAGCAGCCATAGTGAAGTCCAAAAACCTCCGAAACATGATTAACCTTCCCTCAGCAAAGATTTCAAGCACTAGAGACCGTCTTTTGCTGGAGTACATGAAAAAACGAGCTTATGGGGGGAAAAGAAAGAGGAGAGCAAAGCACTGTGACTTTGTTTCCTTGTTTGGGTGGCAGTCTTTAAAGTGCTGTGCTAGGCTTTCCTGTCCAGGGTCAGGCTGTGTCATACGAGTGTCCGCTCTGCCCCATCTAAAGATAGCACATTCACCTATATGAACGCTTCCATTGCATTGGTCCGGACTCCTAATACAGTATCTCAACCTATACTTGGCATATATCATCGTCATTATAATATCTGAATATACAAAGAGGCACCATTACGAGCCTCCCGATCGAGATAAAAACATGTGTGTGTTTGCATGTGTGCAACACCTTCTTCAAGGTAAGAGTAAGACTAATATGCTCTTTGATTTCTCACTTTAGTCTCAGATTATTCAGCACCATCATGAGGAAAGGCACTTTCTATGAACTTTGAACTCGTGTTAGGTTTTAGACCCTAAAAGAAGACCCTCCCAAAAAGCTCTAAAATAAAAGACGAGAGGAGAGGAGAGGAGAAAATACACAGACTGAGTCTTTCGCTTCTAGCTTTCTGGATAACGGAAGCCACGTCAGGCAACGAACTCGATAAGTGTGCTACGAACCCACGACATCTGCTACCACAGGTACTTGCGAATACAAGACAAACACTCTTTACGATCTTCGTACTGAGGCAAAACGAGTTGCAACTTTAAAGGAATCGTTGGGCAAATGACTTGCCGTTGACTTATGCAACAAAAATGGACTGATTTTTAAGTTCCAAAATGAATCTATTTTCCAAGCTTTCAAGCCATAACTTAACTTTAATATTCACTGACATCCGTTCACTTTTGTTGCATGGAAAACAGCAGCTCACACATTTTTTTTTAACTTACTAAAATCTCATGTGCACCAAAAAAAAAGTCATGCAAGTTTGAAACAACATTGGCTAAAGTGGGTAAATAATGAAAATTCATAATCATTTATAACCAAACTATCCCTTTAAAGAGACATGGGTTAGTAATATATTTATATATATGAAGTTAAAACTACACAAAAATAAAATTGCATGACACCTCATCAAGATAGCAGTTTGGCATCCACACACAGACAGTTTTACTTCCAAGGCTCTGAAGCACCGACAAGCGGTTTCATTCGGGAAGGTGAAATAAAAAAGGGCACAATTTCAGTAGCTGCTGTTTTGATGCTTACGGCATCACTTAAACCACTTTTGATGGGCATAAAACACGGTGTACCTTCTTCAATAGGTTCAACCTCTAATGCACACTTAACAAAAAAAAACTGAAAATCCATCACAACAGCCTACTGCATTAGTTTCATTCGATTAATTATACTTTAGAATTTATCTGATTGCATAAACTGCAGTTCGGTATTTTAAAGGGACTGAAATTGTTATTTAAAAAAAAGTTACGCATTAAAATCTTCCGCTTTATAGTGCTTCGTGCAATTGGCCGTAATCGTATTCTGACTGGCCACTGTGCTGTACCTTTCTCTGCAATAAAATCAAATGCAAATCTAACAAACAAACAAACATACAAAACGACCAAATGTCTGTCCTGATGAGAAATTTCTCCTCAGAGTGAGAGAAATGCACGCAACCAGCACCATTTATGCATCCCATGTTCCATCTTACACATTAAGTCTCTGCCAGTTGCTGATGCCGCCACGGGCCGCACCTAATAGCACCATGCATTACGCATTATTTAGTGCAGATTATCACCTTTAAACAGCGGGACATGCTTCAGATGGCGCACGGAGAGACGGTAAGGCACACGACGCTCACTGCACCCTTCAAGTAAAACACTATACTGACCCCTAGTGGCCCTCCAGTGACCGAGCACGAATCAGGTGCAGCCAGAGCTTCTCCTTGAACACGTGGCCTAGAGCTGCCAAACGGTCCCTCGTGCCTAGGCGAACTGAAGCATGAACCCACCAGTCGGACTTGAACAAGCACAATAGCAGCAAACTCCTTTGAACAGGCAGGGCAGTGAAAATCGAGACGTTGAAACCGCGAGATTGTATTAAGGCCGTACAGTCAAATGTGGTCACAACTGTGCCCTTGGTTAGACTAAATGAGGTGCATTTGTTCTGTTTCTGACCTCCCAACGTCATGCATTTCTAGCAGGCACTTGTTAACTCACTACGGTCAATCGTCAGGAAATGCTGCTGTACTTTCACCAAAAATAAACTGTAGAAGTGGCAAACATGCACACCTCCATCCTAAAAACCAACCGCAATGCCCATCATGTGCTTTCGGATGCCTCCCCCCCCCTAGTCGCATACGGAGTCTTTGCACAGGAGGTATTCTCATGCCGCTAATGGATTATTGCACTAAACTATGATCTGTCACATAACACGGACTATGCATTTTAAATCGAGACAAAGTGCAGGAGGGGAGCGAACGAGATAATCTGCTAGGAGCTGCGAGACAAATAAATATTGGAGGGAATTTGGGTGTTAAAAACAAGAAAAAGCATCAAAACATGATCACTTTGCATTGTAGTACATGAAAGCTAGAGCGTAAATTTGCTTAAAAAAATTTCAACCGTCAGCTTTCTGCCCCCCGATGGGGTACGTCATAAAGGACTTTACGCTCTGCAATGGCACTTCTCTAACAATAAAAGCTTGTTTTTCTGTTTTAAAACGCTAACGCACAATTGGTTCTTCACGACTGACACTTTAACACGTAGTTAAGTCACCATTGGCTACAAAAATAATTGAGAACGGGAGAAAAGTACATCTATCCATAGGCGTTCCCCAAAACTTCCTTTCTTCCGGACTCAGTCTTTCCATCCGCTTCCATTCCAATCTCATTTTGGGGGAAGGACAATAAGGGGAAAAAGTGCCGTTAGAAAACGTTGAGGTACAAGGCGTGACAGGCAGGGAAAGTAATTAAACGTTACGTCTACAGACAGGAAGAGGAGCGGGGACATAGACGGGCTTCCCTTTTGGTTTGGGTTTTGGAGGGGATATGACAGATATGACGGCCTCAGTTGGCTGGTTTAATATTGCATAATAGTGCTGAGGTCCACGTGTGGAATTAAAGCAGGCCTTCCTCATCCTGCTGCACAGTGTCGGGGCGGGCCGCGCTTCCATCACCGATCTCATCACAGAGATCGACCCTTCAGGATGCACTTGCTTTTGGGAGGTGTGTTACAGAAAGTATGCGGTTGTCGGGTTCGTGACTAGTCGAAGGTGGGATGGATGTGAGCTGGCTTAGGCAAAGTACATGGTCCTCAGGGTGTCGTGGTGAATCTGCACAGCTTTGGCCAGAGCCTGGGGATCACGACCGTTACTCTGCCCCGAGACGTGGCTTCCCTCGGCACTGAGAGAGAAAAGAGGGAGCAGAGATATTAGAATTTACTAAATCCATAAAAAAACATTGAAATAAAATAAATGTTCACTGAAATAAAATCACTCCCATCGAGTTAAAAACACAAATAAATGCACAGCCATTTGCACTCTGTATCGAAAACATACATGAACATGCTGTTGCACCTCGGATAACTTTTTAAGGCTTATTCTGCGGCGTTTATATAAGCCTTTTGATGGGTTGTGTCATGGAGCTGTAAGAACGGTTACACTCACTAAGTGATTGAATCGTGTTTGTGCCGAACTCTTATTACAAAGCAAAAACAAACGCTCTCCTTCCTTCGATTCATGAACGTTTCTCTCAGTTAATGTACGTGATCTCTCAGTCTAAAACGTCTGTCATAGCAAATCAACACATGCTGTTGTGAATAATTAAGCGAAGCTTCTTCTCATAGGATAAGAACACGCAGTCTCATGAATAATTGAATAGACACCGACGCGTCATCGACGTACTATAGTCCATTGCTGCGTCACAAATTGTGACGTCAACACGATGTAGATTTTAAACCCGGAAGATGAAAATAGCGCAAAAACGCTTAAAATTAAACAGTTTTCTCAAACAGTTAAAATTATCGGATGCTAACATTGTCTTCTATAATGTGCAACACAAAC